CAGCAGTGTTCGGGCCAGGGATGTGAATAACCTCAAACTGTGCGAGTTGTTGAGGAAACAGTGTGAAGGTTCTTTCAAGTCAGCATTAAATTATTAATATACCCTTTATTCAAAATTCAAGTTATTACACTCGAATTATTTTTTTTTTTAACCTAATCATGGGTTGAGCCTTTTGGGTCAATTTTTTGGGGTTATTTTTTCAGTGTTTGGGCAGTATTTGTGTTACCCAGCTCCTGGGTCAGACGTAACAACCCAGTGTTTGGGTAGTTTTTGTGTTACCCAGCTCCTGGGTCACCATAACAACCCAGTGTTGTAACAGTGGAAACGGGACAATAGAGACAGGTCAATTACACTTCAATTACTTATAAATGTTTAATTTTTACTTCTAATATTTGTTAAACGAGCGTAAATGTATGCAATATGTATTGAAAAGTAAATAAAATATGCTATACTGTAAAATATGATCGAAAATAAAGGAATTATCATGGAAACCACTGGTTGTGTGAAGTATTTCTTTTTTAAGTTTAGAGGATTTAAGTTAATCTGTAAACATTAATTCATGTATGAAGTAAAATAATAAAAAGCTAATACTACGGTCAAAATGAATCAACCCATTATGCTGGGTTAAATCAACAACCCAATTTGCTGGGTAAAATTAACCCAACATCTGTTCTGTCCTATATTACGCAGCCCTTGGGTTTAAAACAACCCAAATTGGGTTGTTTTTAACCAAATGTTTTTTAGAGTGTTTTGTGAATGATGCATGTGTTTCATTTTTAATCACTGGTCAGTCTTCTCTCTGGTGATGTATGCAGGATTCCTCCAATCATTTAGTGTGCTTAAGCTCCGCCTCTGCAAGCTCATCTGCATACACGCCACGCCCACATCTCAAACATCCAATCAAGAACCGACGCACAGAACCAAGCCCCGCCCTACATTCTTTCCTTTTTGATGCTCCGTTCCACTTGGATGCTCGCGTCGCTCTGATCCCGCAGTCCAGCACGGCTCGCACACAGAGCCTGGAGGATTTCAGCACACTCCTGACGGCTGCCAGCGTCCCGCTGCTCAGGTGACACTGGAGGCTCTCTTTAACTGCTAATGGACATCACCAGCTGTCCACACAGGTAGATCCCGATCCCTGCCCCGAGCCATCTGTGCATCACCACTGAGATGGAGAGAGAGAGAGAAGAGGAGTCTGTGGCCGTAGCTGGGAATAAAGAAACGGAAAGAGGGATTAATGGAGCAGGAATAATGAGAGAGAGTGGTGAGCTCCCGGTGGAATAGAGCCAGCTGTCACTCACAGTGCTGTCGGACACCTGCACTTCTTTCCCACACTCGCTGATGTCAAGAGCTTAATCATGTGACCCAATGCAAATCACAGCCGGGCTCGGATAGGCTGATCTAGGACCAGCTCTCCGTGATCAACTCGTGATGTGTTGTGCTGAACCGGTTTGCTTTTGACATGATGACTAAAGATGTGAACTATGGAGCATTTAAACCATTTATCAATTTCTAAAATATAAATGCCAAATGCAGTTTTATTCATTTAAAATCAAGTGCATGATGTGGAAACACATCAAAATAGGTGCACTTCTGTAATGCATGACAAAACCGTAACAATTTGAAATGTACTTCAAAATAAACTTTTAATTTATTACAAAGAAAAATTTATTGCACTTTTTAACCTGTAGTCAATAATTGTATCCCTTAAAACTCATCTTTAATCACCAAAATGACATATTTAAAAAAAATTCCTTGAATAAAAATGTCTTCATGCCTTAAAATATCTTGAATGTAACTCGACACCCTTGCCTCATTTAGTATGCGCGATGGTTCTATGAATATGCAAATGAGCCCCGCCTCCACTCACTCACTCAGCTCAGATCCACTGGTTGACGATCACACGTTGATCTGATTGGTTACAAGGTCGTTTGTGACGTCAGAAACACCAGCGATTTCAACCCGTGTTTTTGAGACTGTCTTTGGTTCACTGCAGTTTTAAGCAGAAAATACTCAGCAATGCTGTCGACTTATGAACTTACACACGGTGTGTCTTAAAGCATATTAAACACACCACATACACACATAAACAACATTAAAAGCTGGAGTTTCACCACAGCAGGACTTTAAAAATCATAGTCATGAAAGTGTAAAAAGTCATCTTTTATTTTATTTATATATTTTCACCAAGTACGGTTTTGTAAAAATAGACTTTTAAGATTTAAAGTTCACACTAAACTTCACATTTCAAACAATTTGTTTTTCACAAAGGTAGGAAAGAAAGTTTCTGACATTCACAGTAATGGGAAAATTGTTATTGTCACTCACATTCTCTTTATAAAATGTTAAACGCAGTTTATCAGCATTAATCATTAATCATCCATCACTCCCAGAGAGTGTCCCGGGGTCAAAGGTGACGGGACACTGGCTGAGATCAGCAGGGCAGCTGCTCTACTAATCAAATTACATTCTTAAATATTAACCGCTGCACTGTTAGAAATAAATATAATTTTACAGCTATAATGGTCAGCTAGAATTTTCCTGTTTTGTCATACAAAGAAATACATTGTAAAAATACAATTGTTTACAGATCTGTCCTGTAATAGAGCAGAGTCTCCGCTGCCAGACCTTTAACAGGTTTTTTTTTGTTTTTTTCAACAGTGTGGCCTAATAAACATGTACACTGTATGGAAGCCCATTTCTGTCGCTTTAGGGGGAAAATCATGCTTCAATGCATGGTATCAAAAGTCAGAATTATGATATTAAAAGTCAATTTAATGACATAAAGGTTGATGTTGGTTATCAGCATCTAAACACGATTGAAACTAAACTTGTATTGAGATTGAAACGGAAAGCAAGAGAAAGATATCCTTTATCATCACAGTAAAAACTCGAGACTCAGTGGAACGACAACAAACACTCGAGGTCGAGAGAGTTGAAACGCGTTTGCATCGCGTGAGATATGGCAAGCCAGAAGGGTCAGAATTGCGCTATCTGAATCGTGTTTACATCGCAAACGCCGTGTTTGACTGCGTTTAAGAAGGATTGAACGCCTCCTGACAATCTTAAGCTCAAGCTCACTGATTCTGCACTCACTCTCGCCAAAACTCATGTTAACAGAAGCTGTCTTAATTGTAAAATTAATGAGTGTGTTTACCCTGTGTTGCTCATAGGATTCGCAAGCGTGTGGCTCGCACTGAACAAAACAAACCCTCGTGCATGTCCAGTGGTGAGTGGACTCTGGCCTCTGATTGGCCACCGCGATCACGTGACCAACAGATGTGATTCTGACGCTCCTAAAGCATGTTGTAAATAAACTGATGCATGCCGGGTATATTTAGCGGACTGAACACACGCTACTGCAGAAAAGCCGGACACTTTTTTCTACATGTTGTAGGCCTACCTAATGGCACCAGTAGTGCAGGTATTCGACAACCAATCCGACATACTAAGTCATCATTTTAAATTGAAAAAATGTTAATGATAAGATAAAAACTCTGTAGGGCTTCAATCTTCAGCTGGCTGGCAGGAGCCGCCACTGGCATGGCATGAGTCAATTGGGATAACCGTCCCCAAAACATCAATCATAATCACATAATCATAATCATATCAACAGTTGCATAATAAATGAGCCAGAAAGGGAGGAACACAAAAATAATTGGTTTCTGAAAGAGGCAGGTCACGTGACTGAAGCCTGAACCCCCACTCTAAAAACTATGACTTTAGTTTCTATGTGATAATTATGACTTTTTATGTGATAATTATGGCTTTTAAGTCTTTAAGCTTTATTTTATTATTTATCTTTAAGCTATGATTTAGAAAAGCTGTTTTTTTCTTATGTGGCAGAAATGGGCTTCCATAAAAGTGCACTATTTATAAACTGTGAAAATACTGTTATCTAGAAACAGAGTCATGCTAATCATTGGTCATGTTGAAGCACCTATTGAAAAGACACACACACACACACACACACACACACACACACACACACACACACACACACACACACACACACACACGAAAGCGAACAGCATGATGTAGAATGATGATGAATGTCCCTGAGGCCCCCTGGAGGACGGAGCCGGTCGTCACAGCCGTTATACAGTGGCTCTGATCAGCGCTGAGGCTTCTGGGAATCAGTGGATCTCCTCCTGTTGCCTAATGAGACAAAACACAGATCAAGACACAATCAGAAAAGTCACTCTGATCCTAACTACAACAAGTATCACATCAGATTATTGCTGTTTATTTATATACTTATCATTTTGTGTGCACTATACTTTTCTAAGTCAACTTTTTTTAAAGAAATATACTTTTTATTCATCAAGGACAAATTAGATTGATCAAGAGTGACAATAAAGATATTTATAATGTCACAAAAGATTCTATTTCAAATAAATGCTGTTCTTTTGAACTTTCTATTCATCAGAGAATCCTGAAAAATTAAATATATGACGGTTTCCACAGAAATATGAAGCAGCACGACTGTTTTCAACACTGGTAATAATCATAAATGTGTCTTGAGCATCAGATCCTCATATTAGAGTGATTTCTGGAGGATCATGTGACACTGAAGACTGGAGTAATGATGCTGAAATTCAGCTTTGATCACAGGAATAAATTACACTTTACTGTATATTCACATAGAAAACAGCTGATTTACACTGGAGTAATATTTCACTGTTTTACTGTATTTCTGATCTAATAAACGCAGCTTTGATGAGCAGAAGAGACTCTTTCAGAAACATTAAAATAATCTTACTGAACCCAAACTTTTGAACGCTAGTGTATTAATAATCGAAGTTCCCTCAGTTTCTAAATAATAATTCACAAGATCAGGGGATTTTCTTAAATAAATAAAACTTTAAATAAATGGAAAATATTTTCATGCTGAAATACTGATTTATTGACCAATAGAAGATATTAATGAACAGACACACACTCACAGTCACGTCTCCCTGAAGTTCACATAATCTGACTCTCTGCGGGGCTGGAAGACAAAAACAAGACTCAGTTATTAATATTCATATATATATTCATATATTACATTATAAGTATTTACCAAATATGATAAATCCCTTTTTTTTTACCAAAATCGGGAAAGATTTATGGCCAGAATCAGGTGTAATACACACACACACACACACACACACACACAGGTAGATGTACCTCAGCTGTGAGTTCAGCCATGATCTCATAAGCTTCTTCACAGGCCTGAAACAACAGAAACAGCAACACGCATTCATAAGACTCATGATGATGATGATGATGAAGGGGGTGATGATGAAGATGATGATGATGATGATGAAGCACTGCTTCTGAACTCACGTGTGAGGCCTGTTCCCGGTGCATGATCACGTACTGGCCCTCCTCTGCCGGACTCACAGCTCTCAGGAATCCTGAGAGAATAGGTTCAGTTTAAAACAGTTAAACCTATAGACTGTCCATTATGGTTCGCCAGACAACAAAAACATTTCATAAAGTTATGAAAACATTGTTTCTCTGAACGTTCAAAACATCCAGCGTTTTTTAAAAAATTAATTCTTGGTTATGTGAACATTAAAGGAACATTACATTGTTTCATTCTTCAAACATTATGGAATATGACTTTTGAATGTTCCTGAAACATTACATTAAATTATCGTCCGACTAAAATGTTTCAGGAAAAAACGTTCCATAAACGATATATAAATAATGTTTTTGTGCTAACGCTTTAGAACATTAATAAAGTCCTAATCATGTTTGATTAACGTTACTGGGAGAGTAACTCTGAGAGAACTTCACCTTATGTATTTATTCACAGAAAAACTTACTTTCTTTGATAAACGTGAGCAGTTTCAGTGCTGAGTAAATGATTATGATCAGGAGAATTTCCAAAATCACAGGCAACAGAAAGAAAAAAGCCGTCCTACAATAACACAGAATACAGACAATATTTGAGCTTTTGAATAACTGCATGCATGCATGAAAATGGCATAATGTCAATGCTAATATTATTGCAAAAACGAAAAACAAAAGCCACAAATGTACTGTTGGAAGTTCTGGAATTCAAATAGACATAAGTGGTTATGAATAGTTGAATTTTCTGTTATTATCTCGTTCCAAAACTATATGACGTTATTTCTAGATATTTTCACAAATATTGACAACAATTAAGAGAATATCATGTATCCAAAAAGCAACCATAAGCAACAAGCTATTATATGATTTATTTTACTTTTATATTTTGAAACTGCCTGCACTGATCTACATGAAAAAAAGAGCAGCTTGGACATTATTAACAATATCTACTTTTATGCTGCACTAAAGCATGGTTTCATAAACTGGGACTAGTTTAGAGTTGATGAAAAACTAATAATTCAAGAAATTCAATCCTAAAATTGAAAATTAAAATAATAAAATAAACGATTAAATAAAACACTAAAACTAAAAAAACAGAAATATTTAGCATGTCAGAGAACTGTGGATGTGTTAAATTATTGAAATCTTAAAGGGGTGGTTCAGAATTTTGGACATCTTTAACATTATTCTCTTAACAGAGAATTTACATCAATAGTCTGGCGTTATAATTTATTTGCTTTTGCTGTACTGTGGAGTGTATGTTTTTAATGACAGGCTAGCAGTTACCGTTGACTCGCGCTAGCCTAGCACCGGCGAACTATGCAACTGGAAGGACTGGATGAACATTTTTTAAACCTGTCTCCACTGATAAATAACTTGGAAATGAGGCCCGATGTCCAAAATTCTGAACCACCCCTTTAACATTCAAGACAGTATCAGGGGTTCAGCGCTGGAGCCGCGGATGTAAAGGCTGATCTGTGGTCTGTGCTTCACCTCTTGCGAGCGCTGGGTGTGGTCTCGTCTGTATGGTTATGTACAGTAATATGCACAGGCATCTGCAGCCGGCGTGTTGAGCACAGGTACCAGCCCGTGTTCTTCATCTTCAGCTTGCTCATCATCACCGTCATCACGTGATCCTGATTGTCTGTGATCTCGACCGAGGCTCCGTCTATAGTCCCTCGGCCCGTCACGCAGAGCCCGTGGAGCTGACACCACTGCACCGGCGCGTCCCCGTGATGCGCGCAGGACACGCGCACGCCGCCGCCCTCGGACGCGCTCTCGCTCTGGCGCTGCACAGACAGCCTCGGCCGGCCTGGGGAAACATCACTCAGCTGTGTGGCAATCACAATAATGCTGTTTATACTCATGTTGTGTGGAACTCATTACAAGTAGTTTGAGTTACGTAATCAGATTACTTTTTAAGTAATTAGTAAAGTAAGGCATTACTTTTTCAATTTACAGCAAAATATCTAAGTTACTTTTCAAATCAGTAACGCTATTATCGTGTCACATGTATGGACTGACAGCTCTCCTGTCCTCATGTTGAGAGAAATCAACTGAGGAGGTGTGTGTGTGACTGTGTGTGTGTGTGTTTGTGTGCGTGTGTGTTAGAGAGTGTTTGTGTGTGTGTGTGTTAGAGAGAGTGTGTGTGTGTGTGTGTGTGTGAGAGAGTGTGTGTGTTAGAGTGTGTGTGTTAGAGAGTGTTTGTGTGTGTGTGTGTTAGAGAGAGTGTGTGTGTGTGTGTGTGTGTGTGTGAGAGAGTGTGTGTGTTAGAGTGTGTGTGTTAGAGAGTGTTTGTGTGTGTGTGTGTTAGAGAGAGTGTGTGTGTGTGTGTGTGTGTGTGAGAGAGTGTGTGTGTTAGAGTGTGTGTGTTAGAGAGTGTTTGTGTGTGTGTGTGTGTGTGAGAGAGTGTGTGTGTTAGAGTGTGTGTGTTAGAGAGTGTTTGTGTGTGTGTGTGTGTTAGAGAGAGTGTGTGTGTGTGTGTGTGTGTGTGTGTGTGTGTGTGTGTGTGTGTGTGTGTGTGTGTGTGTGTGTGTGTGTGTGAGAGAGTGTGTGTGTTAGAGTGTGTGTGTTAGAGAGTGTTTGTGTGTGTGTGTGTGTTAGAGAGAGTGTGTGTGTGTGTGTGTGTGTGTGTGAGAGAGAGAGTGTGTGTGTTAGAGTGTGTGTGTTAGAGAGTGTTTGTGTGTGTGTGTGTGTTAGAGAGAGTGTGAGTGTGTGTGTGTGTGTTAGAGAGTGTTTGTGTGTGTGTGTGTTAGAGAGTGTGTGTGTGTGTGTGTGTGTGAGAGAGAGTGTGTGTGTTAGAGTGTGTGTGTTAGAGCAGCCTTTCTCAAAGTGGGTGCCGCGGCACACTGGGGTGCCTCCTGACTTTGTCAGGGGTGCCGCCAAAAAATTACGTAGGCTAAAAATATATATATATATATATATATATTTGAATTTACATAAATACATTCTTCTTCTTTTTAAACATATGAACGTATTAATAAAATTGTAAATTCATTTTAGATAAATATATATATATAAAATTAACCATAAAAATCCGTCTCACAAGACCGAAGCAAGACACACACACAACTTGACGCAAGTGACGCAACCCATAGCACCGCGTTATAGCAACAACACCGACCGCGCGAACGCGCGTCACACAGCAACTACAGGCTCTGACAAACACACATACAAACTATACTATACTTCTGCATAACGTGTCTCTTTTTACAACAAAAATGTGAATTCTGCCGGTATTCAGACAGTCCCATGCATACAGATACAGATCCGGCCTACAATCGCCTACGTAGGCGAAATTTGTTTGACATTTCTAATCGTAAACACAGCCATGTTGAAGCCTGCAGTAATGTTTTTCATTGATGTTATGGCAGTCCACTCTGCTTATTGTTTTTCGAGAATCTTGCACTCCTGTTTGTCATTGTGCACGAAACTTCATGCCAATAAATCATCAGAAATATTGCTGACTTGTGCGCGCCTCAAGCGCACTCTTTACGCTCGTGCTAATGCCTGTTAGTTGTCCGTGGATTTGCCTATATTTGGCGCTGAAAATGGAAACGTCTTTAGACACGTTTATGTCTCAAAAATCGATCAGGATTTTTTCACAAAAGTGATAGCCCTGTAAAGTTGTTATTATTATTGTTATTGTTATTTACAGTTCGTATTATGCTCTGTTCATTACTGTTCTGTCTAAATAAACAGGACATTTGCATTTACATTTGGGTTATGCAGTGTTTTTAATTTATATTTTACACTGGGGTGCCTTGAGATTTTATGCACTTTTGAAAGGTGCCCCGACTGAAAAAAGTTTGAGAAAGGCTGTGTTAGAGAGTGTTTGTGTGTGTGTGTGTGTTAGAGAGAGTGTGAGTGTGTGTGTGTGTGTTAGAGTGTGTGTTTACATCTTTGTGTGTTAGAGTGTGTGTGTTAGAGAGTGTTTGTGTGTGTGTGTGTGTTAGAGAGAGTGTGAGTGTGTGTGTGTGTGTTAGAGAGTGTTTGTGTGTGTGTGTGTGTTAGAGAGAGTGTTAGAGTGTGTGTGTTAGAGTGTTAGAGAGTGTGTGTGTTAGAGTGTTAGAGAGTGTGTGTTAGAGAGTGTTTGTGTGTGTGTGTGTTAGAGAGTGTTAGAGAGTGTTTGTGTGTGTGTGTGTTAGAGAGAGTGTTAGAGTGTGTGTGTTAGAGTGTTAGAGAGTGTGTGTGTTAGAGTGTTAGAGAGTGTGTGTTAGAGAGTGTTTGTGTGTGTGTGTGTGTTAGAGAGAGTGTGAGTGTGTGTGTTAGAGAGAGTGTGAGTGTGTGTGTGTGTGTTAGAGAGAGTGTGTGTGTGTGTGTGTGTGAGAGAGAGTGTGTGTGTTAGAGTGTGTGTGTTAGAGAGTGTTTGTGTGTGTGTGTGTGTTAGAGAGAGTGTGTGTGTGTGTGTGTGTGAGAGAGTGTGTGTGTTAGAGTGTGTGTGTTAGAGAGTGTTTGTGTGTGTGTGTGTGTTAGAGAGAGTGTGAGTGTGTGTGTGTGTGTTAGAGAGAGAGTGTGTGTGTGTGTGTGAGAGAGTCTGACCTGCTGTGACCTCCAGGGAGAAGTTTTCCCGTTGACCAGATCCCGAAGGAATGGCAGCAGGACAGGAGAACTGAGCCGACTCCCGGACATCCTCCATGTGGACCGTCAGGACCTTACGGGAGTCTTCAGAGATCACTGGAGCGCTCTGATCCGACCACTTCCCAGGATCACTCCGTAGCCGAGAGCGTGTGTGTGAAAAATCATATTTCTGTTTATATAAACATGGAATTATGATAGACTGTCCACTCTGAACAGACACTGTCCTGACCGTATTGACATTTTGAGCACCTGACAAAAAAGAAAAAATACATATTAAAATATTGAATTAATCCAAAAGTCTGTGGCTTTTTATTCTATTTTGATTTATTTCAACATATATTCAAATAAATACATACATTAAAATAACACTTCCAAATCTTAAATATTTCTCATTTAATAAAGATTTTGTTTTTTCCAAATCCTAAAACAATAAAGGTACATTATTTAACTTTCTTTGTTCAAAATGAACAAAATTAAAAATAATGAGTCAGTTCAGTTTATTTCTTCAGCACGTTTAATAACAGCAACAAGCCTGACCAAAGTGCTGTACAATACAAAATAAAAAGATTATAAGATAACAGAGAAAAGAGAAAAGAGAAGAACAAAACAAAGTGTAAGTGTTAAAAGCCGATGAAAAGCAATATGTTTTAAGACTAGATTTGAGTGCAGATAAAGTAGAAGTTAATGTGGTTTGGAAGCAAATCACAGAAAAGCTCTATTAAAGTGTCGACACATTGAGTGAGTTCTTGGAATTTGAAGTTTTGATCTTCAGACGTTAGAGAGGGATTATAGTGGTGGAGTAAATTAGACAGATAAGTGTTTGATTGTGTAAAGATGTATTTTCAGAAAGGGAGTGACATTTTTACATCTTTTCAGAAATTGTGCAGCTGCATGTTGAACCACTCGTAAACAAGACATCTGACACTTAGATGTACCACAGTGGATGGAGCTGCAATAATCCGGCGTAGTCGTAATAAAAGCATGGATTGCAGTTTCCAGAGAATTCTCGGATAGAAACGGCTTAATTTTAGCAAGCACGCAGAGATGAAAGAAACTAGATCCAATCTCAGAGATAATATGCTTTATAAACTTCAGAGAATTGTCAAACTACTCACAGAAGGAGAAACAAAAGATATCCAAGATCGATCATGCCAGTCCACTCAACCTGAATGTCACACACACACCTGGACAGAGTATAAATGAACACAGGACCTCAGCACCTGAATGGACATGTGGTTCACATATCACACAAGGACAATGATAACACCACGACCACGCAGCCACAACAGTCTCAGCTGAGCCCTGCCCACAGACAGACTGTGACGGATTACAGCCTCCGGTAACACCAGAGCAACAGCCCCTCTCACCAGACACGTCAACCCTCTCTCCAGCAACTCCACTTCTGTGCTTCTCAGAGAAAATGGAGGACCTGGTGTATGCTGGAACTAAACTATCTCACTCTTTTGCTGCAAGCCCAAGATATCAACCAAAAAGGGGCCCTCCCCCTCCTCCAGTGAGAGCTCTCCGGACTCTGCCACAGCACCAGTGCCCTCCCCCTCCTCCAGCTCGCCCTCACCCTCCTCCAGCTCGCCCTCCCCCTCCTCCAGTGGGCCCAGCTCGCCCTCACCCTCCTCCAGCTCGCCCTCCCCCTCCTCCAGCGGGCCCAGCTCATCCTCACCCTCCTCCAGCGGGCCCAGCTCGCCCTCACCCTCCTCCAGCTCGCCCTCCCCCTCCTCCAGCGGGCCCAGCTCGCCCTCCCCCTCCTCCAGCGGGCCCACCTCACCCTCCCCCTCCTCCAGCGGGCCCAGCTCGCCCTCCCCCTCCTCCAGCGGGCCCAGCTCGCCCTCCCCCTCCTCCAGCGGGCCCAGCTCGCCCTCCCCCTCCTTCAGTGGGCCCAGCTCGCCCTCCCCCTCCTCCAGCGGGCCCAGCTCGCCCTCCCCCTCCTCCAGTGGGCCCAGCTCGCCCTCACCCTCCTCCAGTGGGCCCAGCTCGCCCTCCCCCTCCTCCAGCGGGCCCAGCTCGCCCTCCCCCTCCTCCAGTGGGCCCAGCTCGCCCTCACCCTCCTCCAGTGGGCCCAGCTCGCCCTCCCCCTCCTCCAGCGGGCCCAGCTCGCCCTCCCCCTCCTCCAGCGGGCCCAGCTCGCCCTCCCCCTCCTCCAGTGGGCCCAGCTCGCCCTCACCCTCCTCCAGCTCGCCCTCCCCCTCCTCCAGCGGGCCCAGCTCATCCTCACCCTCCTCCAGCGGGCCCAGCTCGCCCTCACCCTCCTCCAGCGGGCCCAGCTCGCCCTCACCCTCCTCCAGTGGGCCCAGCTCGCCCTCCCCCTCCTCCAGCGGGCCCAGCTCGCCCTCACCCACCTCCAGTGGGCCCAGCTCTCCCTCACCCTCCTCCAGCTCGCCCTCCCCCTCCTCCAGCGGGCCCAGCTCGCCCTCCCCCTCCTCCAGCGGGCCCAGCTCGCCCTCACCCTCCTCCAGTGGGCCCAGCTCGCCCTCACCCTCCTCCAGCGGGCCCAGCTCGCCCTCACCCACCTCCAGTGGGCCCAGCTCGCCCTCACCCTCCTCCAGCTCGCCCTCCCCCTCCTCCAGCGGGCCCAGCTCGCCCTCCCCCTCCTCCAGTGGGCCCAGCTCGCCCTCACCCTCCTCCAGCTCGCCCTCCCCCTCCTCCAGCGGGCCCAGCTCGCCCTCCCCCTCCTCCAGTGGGCCCAGCTCGCCCTCACCCTCCTCCAGCTCGCCCTCCCCCTCCTCCAGTGGGCCCAGCTCGCCCTCACCCTCCTCCAGCTCGCCCTCCCCCTCCTCCAGCGGGCCCAGCTCGCCCTCACCCTCCTCCAGCTCGCCCTCACCCTCCTCCAGCTCGCCCTCACCCTCCTCCAGCTCGCCCTCACCCTCCTCCAGCTCGCCCTCCCCCTCCTCCAGTGGGCCCAGCTCGCCCTCACCCTCCTCCAGCTCGCCCTCCCCCTCCTCCAGCGGGCCCAGCTCGCCCTCCCCCTCCTCCAGTGGGCCCAGCTCGCCCTCACCCTCCTCCAGCTCGCCCTCCCCCTCCTCCAGCGGGCCCAGCTCGCCCTCACCCTCCTCCAGCTCGCCCTCACCCTCCTCCAGCTCGCCCTCACCCTCCTCCAGCTCGCCCTCACCCTCCTCCAGCTCGCCCTCACCCTCCTCCAGCTCGCCCTCCCCCTCCTCCAGCGGGCCCAGCTCGCCCTCCCCCTCCTCCAGTGGGCCCAGCTCGCCCTCCCCCTCCTCCAGCGGGCCCAGCTCGCCCTCACCCACCTCCAGTGGGCCCAGCTCTCCCTCACCCTCCTCCAGCTCGCCCTCCCCCTCCTCCAGCGGGCCCAGCTCGCCCTCCCCCTCCTCCAGCGGGCCCAGCTCGCCCTCACCCTCCTCCAGTGGGCCCAGCTCGCTCTCACCCTCCTCCAGCGGGCCCAGCTCGCCCTCACCCACCTCCAGTGGGCCCAGCTCGCCCTCACCCTCCTCCAGCTCGCCCTCCCCCTCCTCCAGCGGGCCCAGCTCGCCCTCCCCCTCCTCCAGTGGGCCCAGCTCGCCCTCACCCTCCTCCAGCTCGCCCTCCCCCTCCTCCAGCGGGCCCAGCTCGCCCTCCCCCTCCTCCAGTGGGCCCAGCTCGCCCTCACCCTCCTCCAGCTCGCCCTCCCCCTCCTCCAGTGGGCCCAGCTCGCCCTCACCCTCCTCCAGCTCGCCCTCCCCCTCCTCCAGCGGGCCCAGCTCGCCCTCACCCTCCTCCAGCTCGCCCTCACCCTCCTCCAGCGGGCCCAGCTCGCCCTCACCCTCCTCCAGTGGGCCCAGCTCGCCCTCCCCCTCCTCCAGCGGGCCCAGCTCGCCCTCACCCTCCTCCAGTGGGCCCAGCTCGCCCTCACCCTCCTCCAGCGGGCCCAGCTCGCCCTCACCCTCCTCCAGCGGGCCCAGCTCGCCCTCACCCTCCTCCAGCTCGCCCTCACCCTCCTCCAGTGGGCCCAGCTCGCCCTCCCCCTCCTCCAGTGGGCCCAGCTCGCCCTCCCCCTCCTCCAGTGGGCCCAGCTCGCCCTCCCCCTCCTCCAGTGGGCCCAGCTCGCCCTCACCCTCCTCCAGCTCGCCCTCACCCTCCTCCAGCTCGCCCTCACCCTCCTCCAGCTCGCCCTCACCCTCCTCCAGCTCGCCCTCACCCTCCTCCAGCTCGCCCTCCCCCTCCTCCAGCGGGCCCAGCTCGCCCTCACCCTCCTCCAGTGGGCCCAGCTCGCCCTCCCCCTCCTCCAGCGGGCCCAGCTCGCCCTCACCCACCTCCAGTGGGCCCAGCTCTCCCTCACCCTCCTCCAGCTCGCCCTCCCCCTCCTCCAGCGGGCCCAGCTCGCCCTCCCCCTCCTCCAGCGGGCCCAGCTCGCCCTCACCCTCCTCCAGTGGGCCCAGCTCGCTCTCACCCTCCTCCAGCGGGCCCAGCTCGCCCTCACCCACCTCCAGTGGGCCCAGCTCGCCCTCACCCTCCTCCAGCTCGCCCTCCCCCTCCTCCAGCGGGCCCAGCTCGCCCTCCCCCTCCTCCAGTGGGCCCAGCTCGTCCTCACCCTCCTCCAGCTCGCCCTCCCCCTCCTCCAGCGGGCCCAGCTCGCCCTCCCCCTCCTCCAGTGGGCCCAGCTCGCCCTCACCCTCCTCCAGCTCGCCCTCCCCCTCCTCCAGCGGGCCCAGCTCGCCCTCACCCTCCTCCAGCTCGCCCTCACCCACCTCCAGTGGGCCCAGCTCGCCCTCACCCTCCTCCAGCTCGCCCTCCCCCTCCTCCAGCGGGCCCAGCTCGCCCTCCCCCTCCTCCAGTGGGCCCAGCTCGCCCTCACCCTCCTCCAGCTCGCCCTCCCCCTCCTCCAGCGGGCCCAGCTCGCCCTCCCCCTCCTCCAGTGGGCCCAGCTCGCCCTCACCCTCCTCCAGCTCGCCCTCCCCCTCCTCCAGTGGGCCCAGCTCGCCCTCACCCTCCTCCAGCTCGCCCTCCCCCTCCTCCAGCGGGCCCAGCTCGCCCTCACCCTCCTCCAGCTCGCCCTCACCCTCCTCCAGCGGGCCCAGCTCGCCCTCACCCTCCTCCAGTGGGCCCAGCTCGCCCTCCCCCTCCTCCAGCGGGCCCAGCTCGCCCTCACCCTCCTCCAGTGGGCCCAGCTCGCCCTCACCCTCCTCCAGCGGGCCCAGCTCGCCCTCACCCTCCTCCAGCGGGCCCAGCTCGCCCTCACCCTCCTCCAGCTCGCCCTCACCCTCCTCTAGTGGGCCCAGCTCGCCCTCCCCCTCCTCCAGTGGGCCCAGCTCGCCCTCCCCCTCCTCCAGTGGGCCCAGCTCGCCCTCACCCTCCTCCAGTGGGCCCAGCTCGCCCTCACCCTCCTCCAGCTCGCCCTCACCCTCCTCCAGCTCGCCCTCCCCCTCCTCCAGTGGGCCCAGCTCGCCCTCACCCTCCTCCAGCTCGCCCTCACCCTCCTCCAGCTCGCCCTCACCCTCCTCCAGCTCGCCCTCACCCTCCTCCAGCTCGCCCTCCCCCTCCTCCAGTGGGCCCAGCTCGCCCTCCCCCTCCTCCAGTGGGCCCAGCTCGCCCTCCCCCTCCTCCAGTGGGCCCAGCTCGCCCTCACCCTCCTCCAGTGGGCCCAGCTCGCCCTCACCCTCCTCCAGCTCGCCCTCACCCTCCTCCAGCTCGCCCTCCCCCTCCTCCAGTGGGCCCAGCTCGCCCTCACCCTCCTCCAGCTCGCCCTCACCCTCCTCCAGCTCGCCCTCACCCTCCTCCAGCTCGCCCTCACCCTCCTCCAGCTCGCCCTCACCCTCCTCCAGTGGGCCCAGCTCGCCCTCACCCTCCTCCAGCTCGCCCTCACCCTCCTCCAGCTCGCCCTCCCCCTCCTCCAGTGGGCCCAGCTCGCCCTCACCCTCCTCCAGCTCGCCCTCACCCTCCTCCAGCTCGCCCTCACCCTCCTCCAGCTCGCCCTCACCCTCCTCCAGCTCGCCCTCCCCCTCCTCCAGTGGGCCCAGCTCGCCCTCCCCCTCCTCCAGTGGGCCCAGCTCGCCCTCCCCCTCCTCCAGTGGGCCCAGCTCGCCCTCACCCTCCTCCAGTGGGCCCAGCTCGCCCTCACCCTCCTCCAGCTCGCCCTCACCCTCCTCCAGCTCGCCCTCCCCCTCCTCCAGTGGGCCCAGCTCGCCCTCACCCTCCTCCAGCTCGCCCTCACCCTCCTCCAGCTCGCCCTCACCCTCCTCCAGCTCGCCCTCACCCTCCTCCAGCTCGCCCTCACCCTCCTCCAGTGGGCCCAGCTCGCCCTCCCCCTCCTCCAGTGGGCCCAGCTCGCCCTCACCCTCCTCCTGTGAGAGCTCAGATATGATCAGATGTGCTGGAACAGCTTCCAGAGGAGATCAGATGTGCTCCTACAGTCACACTCACATCCAGACTCAGAACACTTCTGTTTAGCTGTGCATTTACTGAATGAGCACTGTGCCACAGTGTGTCTGACTGACTACACTGTATTTTATTTCTGCATTCTCCTTTTTTTCTAAACTCAAATGGCACTGAAAATTGGGTAAGAGACAAACATAAATGACTTAATTGGAGAAATTGAGAGATAAAACCCTGCTGATGGCCCGGGTCTGTGGTGGAGTAGTGGGTTTGACGTGATTAAACTCGAGGTTCTGTGGGGTGCGGACTGGATCCACTCCATTCCTAGAATTTCCCAACAAATGGGTTTTTGGGGTTTGGACTGATGGGGCAGTGACCCCGAGGTCCGCCCTAGAGCTCCTCCCGTCCGGTTTTAGGGAAAAATCGGGTCTCTTGGAGACGTCAAATCGATTTTTAGGCGCATCAAAAGATCACCACAGACACAGTGTAATCCCCATCTTTCTATAACTGTATTATAAACTGTATTTATAACTTTAATTTTCCTTGCTTTTATTTTGTGATACATTTTTATTTATTTCTATGTAAAGCACTTTGAATTGCCATAGTGTATGAAACGAAAGCAGTGAAGCGTATGGATGAGTGTGTTATTGTTCTCACCTGAGAGTTTGATCAGGATGAAGATGAACAGAAGACCGTCTCGATCCATCGCTGGCTCATTGTGAAGATGTTGTTGGCTATGTGTGTGAAATCTTTCCCATCTCTAGTTCCTCTTTTTCTGCAACACTCTTCACTATGTTGCAAGAGTATATTTGTGGGCAGTGTGACAAAACGAATTATTTATTTATAACAGTTTTGAAGTCATTGGAAACCAGTGTGATGCATTTCCTCCAAAGAGAAACAGCATTAACTGACAGATTTGTTTGTTGAAAGACCAACTAATGACTTTTACTCTACAAAGTATTTCCTAGGCTAACTAAGAAAGAAAGAAAGAAATAAGCACGATTTACACCCACAGTTTTTCCACTTCATGAATACGAAGCCTCAGACTCTGAAACACTGAGGAAATGAAGCTTTTGAACACAGTAGACGACACTCTATGAACTATAACTCACCGGAAAATTAAACATCTGACATTTACTCATGTCTGCATGCATGCTTTTACACATTACAATTATGCTCAAATTCTGTGTTTGATTGTTAGGTTACAGGTGAAATTGACCGTTGGCAAGTCAAGTTTATTTATACAGCACATTTCATACACTATGGCAATTCAAAGTGCATTACAGAAAGGAATTAAAATAATCACAAAATAAATGCAAGGAAACAGTTATAAAGGAAATAGAGATTTCAAGAGATATATGATACAGTTATAAAATGAATGAAAATAGTAAAAAGATGATACATAGATAAACTTCTCATCTGGCAAATCACCGGTGTATAATATTTAGCACAACTCCCAGTTTTACTCTGAGATTTTCCCAATTCACCAAATTGAATGTGGATTCAACACAATTCACCAGAAATCACAATATAAAAAAGAAAAGAAAGGTAATATAATATAAAAATAGTAAACCTTTAACATTAATACTTCTTAAACATTACAAAAAAGTAAACATGAGAAAATATGGTTTATAAAACAGCATTGAATTTTTTTTTCTCACAAAATGTGAATATTATATTTTATGCCATTTAAATAAATGAAACATTTATATATTTTTTATGTGCTCAAACAGTAGAGCAGGCTCTCGCAACGCTAAGATCATGGGCTCAATACCCAGCAAAATTCACATTAATTTCGTTCACATTTTCATCAACAGCTCAAAGTGTCGAAACTTTACCCTAAATGAGAAACAGTAAGACAACTAAGACAGAAAAACATCTTAGTATGAAAGGCGTTCGGGTCAAATTGACCTGGAACTTAAAAAGTTCAAAAGAAAAAACAATCTTCACATTATTTATTTTTCACATCACAGAAACAAAGGGCTGAATGCAACTAAACATATTGCTGTTCTTCACATGTGCTTTCATAAAGACTGATCAACACAGAGGACACGAACATCATAAACAAGATTGCGTCTGCTTATATAACTATTTCACTTTTCTGACCATAGATTCATATATGTTTTTATTATCCATTTCAGGCAGCTACAACAGCACACGAGAACACAACGACAAAACAGAACAAAAAACAGAGTTAGGTTTACATGAACCCACATTACTGTAAAATGATGTATACATATATAACTGCATATTACTGTACTTTTATTACTGTATCAACAAATATTACATAAAAAAGTACCTGAATGATTTGTTTATTTCCAGTCATGATTTCATAAAGATCTTCAACCTTGCTGTGTTTCTCATTTCCCTGTTTAGAATTAAATGTATGAATACATTAATAATAATAACAACAACAACAACAACAGCAGTTTATAGTTCAAGCAGATAAAAAATGACCTGCATGTTTTGTGTATTTCCAGTCATGTTTTCGTAGATATCGTCACATGTAACCTGCTCGCATTTCTCATTTCCCTATTAAAAATAAAAAGTATAAATAAATTCATAATAATAACAGCAGCAGCAGCAGCGTATAGAGCCAGCAGATGACTGCTACGAATGTTATAAAAAATGACCTGCATGTTTTGCTTGATTTCAGTCTTTTCATAGAGATTTTCATATGTAACCTGCTCGCATTTCTCATTTCCCTATTTAAAATAAAATGAATAAGTAAATTAATAATAAGAAGAACAACAATATTTAAAAGTGCAAGTAGGTATGCTAGAAATGTTTATAAAAATTACCTGAATGTTTTGTTTATTTTCAGTCTTTTTATAGAGATTTTCACATGTAACCTCCTCGTTTCTCCCATTTCCCTGTAAAAAAAAAAAAACATTATTATTATAAATAACAATAAGAGTGATCAGAATCTGTGATTTTTCCAACAGCCATACATCACGAACATGACAGTAAACGTGGGACGCTGGCGATGGACGGCCACTTACGCTGGGCAACTGTTGATTGTTCATGCCTTCGGACGGACCCGGAGCGCCAGCTCTCCGCTCTGCAGAAACACACACACACACACACACACACACACACACACACACACACACACACACACACACACACACACACACACACACACACACACACACACACACACACACACACACACACACACACACACACGCATACACACACACACACACACACACACACACACACACACACACACACACACACACACACACACACACGCATACACACACACACACACGCACACATACACACACACACACACACACACACACACACACACACACACACACATGTGTAATAATGCACATGTTCTGCTCTCTCTGATCAGTCGGTCCACAGACGAGCGGTCAGCCTGTGGACGCGGCAAGAGCGCGCAAGTGGTTTTTCCACTTATTATAATTTATTATTATTAATAATAAATAAATTAATTAGTTAAATTAAATTAATTAGAGTCCCTTATTATTATTTCACTGGTTATATCCAGTTCTCCTGTTACTCAGTTTTGTATTTGGCACTTAAGTATCTTCTTCTCCCTTTCCTTTCACTCAACATGTGCTTTCAATACATTCTCTCTAACAACTTCTCTTTCTCTCACACCCCTCGCCACTCGGTCTTCTCATTTCTAACAACGGGAAATACTCAACTCTCTCTTCTCTATGCAATAACATCTCGTTTGAATATCATGCCATTACACTTACAACTCCCATTGAGATCCATATTGTAGTCATATATCGCCTCCACAACTGGGAAGCTTTGTAGAGGAGCTGGACGTGCTGCTGTCCTCTTTCCCAGAGGATGGCATCCCACTCGTAGTCTTTGGCGTTGACACTTGCTTACAGATCCACCACAGACTCAGCTCCGTCCTACTTCCACTCGCTCCTACAAGTCTACGTCCCTGCCAGAAGCCTACGACCGGTCAATGAGTGACGCTCGTGGTCCCATCACAGAGAGCCTCTAAATCACTCTCCAGGACACCCTCATTCACGGCTCCATGCTGGTGGAGTGATCTCCCGTCCCTCATCCGGACGCAGAATCCCTGACAGCATTCAGGAGACTCATGAAAACTCCTCTCTTCCGGGAGCACTTGACCTCATAACAAATAAAACTCTTTCCTTTTCCCTCAATCCTCCCTTGACTGGCTTATGCTACTCTGAGCAATGCCTTGCGTTATTTTTGCCTCTTCACGATGACTCGCTTTAATTTAGTCCTAATTTGTAAGTCGCTTTGGATAAAAGCGTCTGCTAAATGACTAAATGTAAATGTAAATATCTGAGTCTCTCACTTCTGCTGATGTTTCGTCTGATCAGAGCCACAGCCACACAGAAGACCGCGGGCAGCATCGCTCCCAGAACGGCCCGCCACAGGAGACCCGGACCCCACGCCACGCTGAAAGCAGGAGGAGAGGAGGAGTCATGTCTCAGGAGGATTCAATACATGTGCACTAATGTCAAGTCACGGCACCTCTATTTATATAGTGCTTTTTACAAAACAGAAGCTTTACAGAGATAACAGGAAAATAATGCAACAAGTTTGTTTCCAGAAGAAAATAGTGTCAGCTAAAGTAAGTTCAGTGATGTTTCAATTTTGCTGTAAAAAAGTTATTAATTTAGTTCATTTATATAGAGAAAGAGAGAAAACCGTGAAGTCATCGTCCCGCTCAGTTCAGTTCTCATATAATGGTGTCAATGCAGGAGATCAATAATATTGAATATTAAATGAAATGTGTATCTTACTTGTCTTGGCTGGATGCTGTGGTGTGGCCTGTGTAGTGAACAGTAACTGGTCTTGTGGCCTTCCTCACACTAATATGAACTGGCATCTGGTATTTCCCATCGGAGCAGAAGTACCATCCACTGTCCTCTATCTTCAGCTCGCTCAAGCTCACGCTCAGAGCCTCCCCGTCTCCTCTGACATGAGCTTTATCTGAGCTTTCTTCATCTCTCCCAACACACGAGCCTCCGATCTGACACCACAGTGACGCTCCGTGACAGAGGACGGTGACGCGGCCTCCCTCGTAGCCGGACACGCTCTGACTCGACACGTGGAGCCGGGCTTTACCTGGACAGGGCACACTGAACGTCAGAGACACGTCTAAATGTGTACATTCTGGAATATGACAAGAAGAAAACTATGGAAGCTTGTTTGCGCCACAGAGTAACAGATAAAAAAGGTAATAATTGCAACTTTTCATCTTGCAATTCTGACTTTTTTTCTCGGAATTGTGAGATAAAAATATGCTATTGCAAGTTATAATGTCTGAAATGTACGGTGGCCGAGAGAGCTCAACGCGCTGCAACTGAAGCAAACACATGCAAACAGAAGAAAAACACCTGCAAATTAAAAAAACATCTTCATCAGTTTCACAACACACCTGTGCTCCAAATACAGAAACGCGCTGCAAATAACACAGACCACAGCGGAAATGATTCCAGGGGAACCAAATAAGTCATTAATTTGCAGGTGTTTTTTTTCTATTTGCAGGTGTTTTTTTTCTATTTGCATGTGTTTTTTTCTATTTGCATGTGTTTTTTTTCTATTTGCATGTGTTTTTTTTCTATTTGCAGGTGTTTTTTTTCTATTTGCATGTGTTTTTTTCTATTTGCATGTGTTTTTTTCTATTTGCATGTGTTTTTTTTCTATTTGCAGGTGTTTTTTTTCTATTTGCATGTGTTTTTTTTCTATTTGCATGTGTTTTTTTTCTATTTGCATGTGTTTTTTTTCTATTTGCAGGTGTTTTTTTCTATTTGCATGTGTTTTTTTCTATTTGCATGTGTTTTTTTCTATTTGCATGTGTTTTTTTCTATTTGCATGTGTTTTTTTTCTATTTGCATGTGTTTTTTTTCTATTTGCAGGTGTTTTTTTTCTATTTGCATGTGTTTTTTTCTATTTGCATGTGTCTTTTTTCTATTTGCATGTGTTTTTTTCTATTTGCATGTTTTTTTTCTGTTTGCATGTGTTTTTTTTCTATTTGCATGTGTTTTTTTTCTATTTGCATGTGTTTTTTTCTATTTGCATGTGTTTTTTTTTCTATTTGCATGTGTTTTTTCTATTTGCATGTGTTTTTTTTCTATTTGCATGTGTTTTTTTTCTATTTGCATGTGTTTTTTTTCTGTTTGCATGTGTTTTTTTTCTATTTGCATGTGTTTTTTTTCTATTTGCATGTGTTTTTTTCTATTTGCATGTGTTTTTTTTTCTATTTGCATGTGTTTTTTCTATTTGCATGTGTTTTTTTTCTATTTGCATGTGTTTTTTTTCTATTTGCAGGTGTTTTTTTTCTATTTGCATGTGTTTTTTTCTATTTGCATGTGTTTTTTTCTATTTGCATGTGTTTTTTTTCTATTTGCAGGTGTTTTTTTTCTATTTGCATGTGTTTTTTTTCTATTTGCATGTGTTTTTTTTCTATTTGCATGTGTTTTTTTTCTATTTGCAGGTGTTTTTTTCTATTTGCATGTGTTTTTTTCTATTTGCATGTGTTTTTTTCTATTTGCATGTGTTTTTTTCTATTTGCATGTGTTTTTTTTCTATTTGCATGTGTTTTTTTTCTATTTGCAGGTGTTTTTTTTCTATTTGCATGTGTTTTTTTCTATTTGCATGTGTTTTTTTTCTATTTGCATGTGTTTTTTTCTATTTGCATGTTTTTTTTCTGTTTGCATGTGTTTTTTTTCTATTTGCATGTGTTTTTTTTCTATTTGCATGTGTTTTTTTTCTATTTGCATGTGTTTTTTTTTCTATTTGCATGTGTTTTTTTCTATTCTGCAGGTGTTTTTTTTCTATTTGCATGTGTTTATTTCTATTTGGATGTGTTTTTTTTCTATTTGCATGTGTTTTTTTTCTATTTGCATGTGTTTTTTTTCTATTTGCATGTGTTTGCTTCAGTTGCAGCGTGTTGAGCTCTCTCGGCCACCGTAGAAATGTAAGATAAAAAGATGCAATTCTGAGAAAAAAGTCAAAGTTACAAGATAAAGTTACAATTGCGAGAATGTCAGAAATTTTTAGATATAAAGTCAATTGCAAGAAAGTGTGAATTTCAAGATATAGTCATAATTGTGAGAAAGTCCGAATGGCAAGATATAAATTCATAATTGCGAGATTACAAATTTATTACAAGATTTTGAATGGTAATTTTTACAACTTCTTATTACAAGATACGTTTATCTCATAATTGTGAAAAAAAGTCAGAATTGTAAAATGTAAACTCGCAATTATGAGAAAAAAGAATTGAGAGATAAAAAGTTACAATTGCCCTATTTTTATTCTGTGGGATAAACAAGCTAAACACCTGGATTGATTTACATACGCAAAATACCTTTTATAACCTCCAAGTGGAGTTGTGCGTGCGGATCAGACCCAGTGCCCTCGATGGCACACCAGTAGGAGCCGGAGTCGCTCTCCTCGGCGCTGCTCAGCGTGGCGGTGAACACCTTCTCTGTTCGGTTATCCGCTAAACACATTCTGCCGTGCTTCACTTCTCTACTGAAGAGCCAAACGCCTCCAGAACTCACATATTTACGGTTACTGACATATCTCTCATTATATAAACAAGGGATTATGATGGTTTGATGTTTTTGAACTGATATTTTGCTGACTGTAAGAATAGCTGTGGAAAGAAAAATAATAATAATAAAATTATTATTACACTAAAGATTTTATTTAAGCTGAAGTGAAACATTAAATGTTAGGCTTACAACGCCTTGAATGCATGAGCTCATCTGCATATATATGCATATTCCCATCCATGTTATAATGTTACTCGATATTAATATTTCAGATCATTGGGTGGACTGAAGGAAAGCATCTCCTTTCTCCTGCGCTGTGCTTGCTCTCACTGTTCTTAAAAACTTGCTGAAGCTGCTAACTAGAATCTGCTCCAAATGATTCACTAAGAACGAATCACAAAATTAACTAAGAACCCGCTTATGAATTATTGGCATTGGATGTTTTGATTTTTGATTAAACGGGACACACCATAACTGCTGAAATGTCTCTAGAGATATTCATGTCTGAGGTTATTCGGAGTGCAACATTGGCTGTATATGCTGTTGAATTATCCATCTATGAAATAACCAAAATAAAAGATATGCTAAACTTATGATAATATAATTCTTCTTAAGATGTTAAGATGCTTTTCTGTTTGGTTTCAGTTGAAAACACAATCCTGTATACAGTAGATAAAATGACCATTAAACATTAACACTTAGTTCTTGTCAAGTTGATGGTGATGAATATACAAACCCAGCTAAATATAGATAAATTGTGCTGAAAAGCTTGTTATTCCACACACCATATCAGCACTGACTTCAACACACATTCCCAAACTCCCAGACAGACGGACAGGTAAATCAGCGGCGTATAACAGCTTGTCGTACCTGAAGAGTGTGTGACGAGGAACATGACGAGCAGAGTCGTCTTCATCATGCTGGCGGAGTGAGAGCGAGCCGGTCGTAGCAGGACTATATTTATTTCACTCTAGAGAATATGTGAACACAGTTTACACAGCATGTGTGAGCCGTGGTGTGTGTGTGTGCAAACACTACACACTCCACATCACTGAACACTTTCTCCTCACAATGCACATCATAATAGTTCATATTGTAACACTCAATGCCAAGTGGAGAAAACCTATATAATGCAAGAGCATATTCTTGTTGTATTGTTATATTTGCATGAGCGCTGCTGTTTCTGTTGTTCCTTCCTGCTGTGTCTCAGAAACTCAGCGTTTATAAGAGAACATCCTGCAGATCTGATCAAAGATGAGATCATATGATCAGATCTGTTGCAGATAAGAGGTTTGAATGATGAAACTTACAACCCTTTAAGGGATATATACAGTATGTATATCCAGTGAAATAAAACAAACTACATATATAGCCTAACTCTCAAGTGCAGTATAGCCATAAATACTCATTAGAGCATTAGTAGTTCCTCATACTTACTTTCCATATCAGGCCCAGAAAACACTCTACTGACGCTCTTTAAAAGGGCTTTACGTGAGAATGTTCACTGAACGGCCACCGGTGGCGCTATAACAAGAGCTGCTCAATTCTACATAGAACCTCTTTCACGAGTTCACACTATACAATTAGAGGGGGCAGGGGCGGAGCTAGACTCTCAGTACAGTGGGGGCGGAGCTAGACTCTCAGTACAGTGGGGGCGGAGCTTCATCATGGGGCCCTCTGCTACCAAGTCATTTAAAAATTAAAACCGTAAAAAAAAAAAAGGAAAATATCTGATGAATGCATATGTAATAATGTGTCACTTGTTGAGCCAAGTAAGCTTAGGCCTATATGTTAAATAAAACACAAAGGCTATCTCGTTCTTTTCAGAGAACAGTCTGTTTTCTTTCGCTTTGAATCGTTCTGTAAAAGTACACATTTTGAGCTTCCTATAGATATATTTCTCAGGTGTGTGAGGCAAGTAGGCCTACTCTGTGTTTCGGCAACGGCGCCTCCGTGTCGTGATTATCTATTGTCTGCTATATTTACTTCTTATTTATTAAATCCAGGCAATTGGTTGATGAAACATTGATTAAAATTAAGATAAAATTAATACAAAACGAAATTCGCCTTAATGAATGACTTTGTACTTTGTTTGATGTCTCTGGGAAAATTTTAAAGCATCTTTCAGTGCCGCTTTCAGAGCGCTCGCGTCCGTAACCGGGAACTGTCTCGTAACATTGTTTTTCCCTCATAAATGCGAACACGAAAAATAAGACAAAATTAATGTTTTGTTCTGTGGAGAGCCAGCCCTTCTTCATCCGGTGGGTAGTATTACTTTTTGTAGCTACTTTTGCCACCTAAAAGTTAAAGTTTTTTTGTGTCACGTCCGTGTATTTCCCTCATATTAAATATAAAACGCATGTGTAGACTGATATTTTTCTAATGTCTGGAGTCTGGACTCCTTTATTAAGGAGGATAAACAGACGTTTCAATATATTGGTATTAAATGCATTTTCTGAGAATTTACATTTCAAGTTTTTTACCAAATGTCACGTCCATAACGCTGGAATTGCCCAATTTTAAAGAAATTATCCTCAACTGTGGTGTAGTGTAGGTCTACGCATTTTATAATGTTAACTTCAAACAATAGCCTACTAATAGTAATTTAAAGATGTGGTAGCATTGGATCTGGACGGAAGGATAACGCTGGGAGTTGGAGTGTGTTGCGATTCTGCCTTCTCACTCACATTTCGGTTTCATATCGCATATCAGCCATCATTTCTACTAAAGAAAATGACAAAAAATAGTAACGCACAGTAATTTGGATCAGTAATTTTAATCTGATTACTGGTTTGGAAATAGTAAAGCGTTAAATTACTCGTTACTGAAAAAAGTTCCCGGCATCACTGCTGGCGAGGGCCCGTTCCTGTCCAGTGACGCGCGATCGGCGGCGTTTGAGGGGCCCCTAATTGGCACGGGGCCCTGGGGCGACCGCACCCTAGCACCCACGCTATCTCCGCTACTGAGAGGGGGTACAGTTTAATGCGTATGTGGCGTGCTGTCCGGGGGGAGGGAGCTCGGCCCGAACCCAGAGTACTCCCCCTATGTACGTGTTTAGGACTGGAAGTGTGGAGAAGGGGCGCTGGAGGGACGCTGCTAAACTATCAATGGAGTGAGGTGAGATTGCTGAATCTATATATACACCTCTTATCATTGATTGCTGAGTGCTCTCCACTCATGTTAATTATCTGAACGTGCTCCTCGCGAACTTTGTTAATAAAACATCATATAAAGTCATGAAAGGGAAGCAGCGCTGGTCTTCTCTCCTCTATTGTGTCGTATATCGAGTGAAACGCTTCTGGAACAAGAACACATGTGGGCGGGGCTTGATTGTGTCTGTGGGGACCTGATTGGATGGTTGTGGTCTGCTATTGGCTGATCTCATGTGAGTGACAGGTTTTAGCCCCGCCCTCGTCATCAGAGAAGAGAAGAGATGCTGCAAGAGGAACTGATTCTCATTCAACATTATTAACACAATAAAGATGACGTGCACACATAAATCATTTACAATAAACACTGCGATATTACATAATTTATTTAATGGTGACTTTAATGGACTTAACTTAAATACATCAGAACATGTGAAGAACTGGTCTAAAATACAGGTTTCACACACAATTGAACTAAACTATATAGTTATATAGTTATATAATTCTAAAACTATATAACTAACTCATATCGCCTCCCGTTAGCCGTGATCGTAACTGTGCTCCAGGGTTGTGTATGAACCTCAGGTTAGTACTTTCTTTCAGCTAAATGTCAAAAAGTCTTTGTTGTATTTTCTAGACAGTGTTATCTTGTTTTGTCTAAAAGGTCTGGGCTCTCTATTGGTCGCTCTGGTGGCGTTTCCTTGATAACGAACTCTGACTTCCTGTGTTGGCCACGATACACTCAACACACTCAACACACTCGACACACTCAACACACTCAACACACTCAACACACTCGACACACTCAACACACTCGCGGCCTGTCCGTGAAGCGCTCGTGCGCTGGGCTATAAATGACACACACACAGAGAACCGGAAGGCTGTAAGACACAACCTCAGGGGAAACACTCACTTTAAACTGCACGTCCACATCATATACAGCCGAGGAGAAATGTGTATAAAAACAGAAATGTTTGAATAAGATTTCAATGTGCAGTATTTATCAGACACCATTTAATTAGAATATTGTCTTGTTTATTTTATTACTTGTTATAGCTTTCGTAAGATAACTAACATTAACTAACAATGAGCAATGCATTTGTTACAGTGTGTCTTAAAGGGATAGTTCACTTTGAAATTAATTTTTGGTGTGTTTTAGCTTACCTCAAGGGCATCCAAGATGTAGGTGTCTTTGTTTCCGCAGTAGTTTCAATTTTGGTATTTTTAGGTCAAAGCGTTCTTGTCTGTCAGTCATATAATGCAGGTCTATGGTCACCACCTCAAAGAGCAGCACAGAGAAGTCCAAATTAAACATGATTTAATGACTCGTAAATGTAAGTACACATTGATGGCCTAAGACACGAAACGAGCGGTTTGTGTGAGAAAACGAACAGTATTTATATCGTTTTTACCTCTTTTACCGCTCGTTTCGTGTCTTAGGCCATCAATGTGTACTTACATTTACGAGTCATTAAATCATGTTTAATTTGGACTTCTCTGTGCTGCTCTTTGAGGTGGTGACCATAGACCTGCATTATATGACTGACAGACAAGAACGCTTTGACCTAAAAATACCAAAATTGAAAATACTGCGGAAACAAAGACACCTACATCTTGGATGCTCTTGAGGTAAGCTAAAACATACCAAAAATTAATTTCAAAGTGAACTATCCCTTTAATGAACACATGTTAGTAAAAACACAGCTGTCCACTGTTAGTTCATGTTAACTAATGTAGTTATCGAACGTTAACAAATAAACCATATTGTAAAGTGTTACCGATGTCTCTTTATGTCATCAGTATTTCAGGATTTGTACTGTAGTTTAAAAGGGTCATGAACTGCATTGTTTTGTAATGTTTCCTAGGGTGCACTAATATAATGTTAGTATGATTTATACTTCAAAAATGGTCATAATTGAGAAATAAAAGGCTTTTTTCTACAATGATTTTAACCTCTGATTTAAACGCTCTGTTTAAAGAGGCGTGTCTGTGTGAGTCTTCAGTGTAAACGCCCACTGCTGTGATTGGCTTTGAGACTTCAGTGTAAACGACCACTGCTGTGATTGGCTGTGAGTCTTCAGTGTAAACGCCCACTGCTGTGATTGGCTGTGAGTCTTCAGTGTAAACGCCCACTGCTGTGATTGGCTGTGAGACTTCAGTTTAAACGCCCACTGCTGTGATTGGCTGCTGTGAGTCTTCAGTGTAAACGCCCACTGCTGTGATTGGCTGTGAGACTTCAGTTTAAACGCCCACTGCTGTGATTGGCTGTGAGACTTCAGTGTAAACGCCCACTGCTGTGATTGGCTGTGAGACTTTAGTGTAAACGCCCACTGCTGTGATTGGCTGTGAGTCTTCAGTGTAAACGCCCACTGCTGTGACTGGCTGTGAGACTTCAGTGTAAACGCCCACTGCTGTGATTGGCTGCTGTGAGTCTTCAGTGTAAACGCCCACTGCTGTGATTGGCTGTGAGACTTCAGTTTAAACGCCCACTGCTGTGATTGACTGTGAGACTTCAGTGTAAACGCCCACTGCTGTGATTGGCTGTGAGTCTTCAGTTTAAACGCCCACTGCTGTGATTGGCTGTGAGACTTCAGTGTTAACGCCCACTGCTGTGATTGCTGTGAGTCTTCAGTGTAAACGCCCACTGCTGTGATTGGCAGTGAGACTTCAGTGTAAACGCCCACTGCTGTGATTGACTGTGAGACTTCAGTGTAAACGCCCACTGCTGTGATTGGCTGTGAGTCTTCAGTGTAAACGCCCACTGCTGTGATTGGCTGTGAGTCTTCAGTGTAAACGCCCACTGCTGTGATTGGCTGTGAGTCTTCAGTGTAAACGCCCACTGCTGTGATTGGCTGTGAGACTTCAGTGTAAACGCCCACTGCTGTGATTGGCTGTGAGTCTTCAGTGTAAACGCCCACTGCTGTGATTGGCTGTGAGACTTCAGTGTAAACGCCCACTGCTGTGATTGGCTGTGAGACTTCAGTGTAAACGCCCACTGCTGTGATTGGCTGTGAGACTTCAGTGTAAACGCCCACTGCTGTGATTGGCTGTGAGACTTCAGTGTAAACGCCCACTGCTGTGATTGGCTGTGAGTCTTCAGTGTAAACGCCCACTGCTGTGATTGGCTGTGAGTCTTCAGTGTAAACGCCCACTGCTGTGATTGGCTGTGAGTCTTCAGTGTAAACGCCCACTGCTGTGATTGGCTGTGAGACTTCAGTGTAAACGCCCACTGCTGTGATTGGCTGTGAGTCTTCAGTGTAAACGCCCACTGCTGTGATTTGCTGTGAGTCTTCAGTGTAAACGCCCACTGCTGTGATTGGCTGTGAGACTTCAGTTTAAACGCCCACTGCTGTGATTGGCTGCTGTGAGTCTTCAGTGTAAACGCCCACTGCTGTGATTGGCTGTGAGACTTCAGTTTAAACGCCCACTGCTGTGATTGGCTGTGAGACTTCAGTGTAAACGCCCACTGCTGTGATTGGCTGTGAGACTTCAGTGTAAACGCCCACTGCTGTGATTGGCTGTGAGTCTTCAGTGTAAACGCCCACTGCTGTGACTGGCTGTGAGACTTCAGTGTAAACGCCCACTGCTGTGATTGGCTGCTGTGAGTCTTCAGTGTAAACGCCCACTGCTGTGATTGGCTGTGAGACTTCAGTTTAAACGCCCACTGCTGTGATTGGCTGTGAGACTTCAGTGTAAACGCCCACTGCTGTGATTGGCTGTGAGACTTCAGTGTAAACGCCCACTGCTGTGATTGGCTGTGAGTCTTCAGTGTAAACGCCCACTGCTGTGATTGGCTGTGAGTCTTCAGTGTAAACGCCCACTGCTGTGATTGGCTGTGAGACTTCAGTGTAAACGCCCACTGCTGTGATTGGCTGTGAGACTTCAGTGTAAACGCCCACTGCTGTGATTGGCTGTGAGACTTCAGTGTAAACGCCCACTGCTGTGATTGGCTGTGAGACTTCAGTGTAAACGCCCACTGCTGTGATTGGCTGTGAGACTTCAGTGTTAACGCCCACTGCTGTGATTGCTGTGAGTCTTCAGTGTAAACGCCCACTGCTGTGATTGGCTGTGAGACTTCAGTGTAAACGCCCACTGCTGTGATTGGCTGTGAGACTTCAGTGTAAACGCCCACTGCTGTGATTGGCTGTGAGACTTCAGTGTAAACGCCCACTGCTGTGATTGCTGTGAGTCTTCAGTGTAAACGCCCACTGCTGTGATTGGCTGTGAGACTTCAGTGTAAACGCCCACTGCTGTGATTGGCTGTGAGTCTTCAGTGTAAACGCCCACTGCTGTGATTGGCTGTGAGACTTCAGTGTAAACGCCCACTGCTGTGATTGGCTGTGAGTCTTCAGTGTAAACGCCCACTGCTGTGATTGGCTGTGAGACTTCAGTGTAAACGCCCACTGCTGTGATTGGCTGTGAGACTCCAGTGTAAACGCCCACTGCTGTGATTGGCTGTGAGACTTCAGTTTAAACGCCCACTGCTGTGATTGGCTGTGAGACTTCAGTGTAAACGCCCACTGCTGTGATTGGCTGTGAGTCTTCAGTGTAAACGCCCACTGCTGTGATTGGCTGTGAGACTTCAGTGTAAACGCCCACTGCTGTGATTGGCTGTGAGACTTCAGTGTAAACGCCCACTGCTGTGATTGGCCGTGAGACTTCAGTGTAAACGCCCACTGCTGTGATTGGCTGTGAGACTTCAGTGTAAACGCCCACTGCTGTGATTGGCCGTGAGACTTCAGTGTAAACGCCCACTGCTGTGATTGGCTGTGAGACTTCAGTGTAAACGCCCACTGCTGTGATTGGCTGTGAGACTTCAGTGTAAACGCCCACTGCTGTGATTGGCTGTGAGTCTTCAGTGTAAACGCCCACTGCTGTGATTGGCTGTGAGTCTTCAGTGTAAACGCCCACTGCTGTGATTGGCTGTGAGTCTTCAGTGTAAACGCCCACTGCTGTGATTGGCTGTGAGTCTTCAGTGTAAACGCCCACTGCTGTGATTGGCTGTGAGTCTTCAGTGTAAACGCCCACTGCTGTGATTGACTGTGAGACTTCAGTGTAAACGCCCACTGCTGTGATTGGCTGTGAGACTTCAGTTTAAACGCCCACTGCTGTGATTGGCTGTGAGACTTCAGTGTAAACGCCCACTGCTGTGATTGGCTGTGAGTCTTCAGTGTAAACGCCCACTGCTGTGACTGGCTGTGAGACTTCAGTGTAAACGCCCACTGCTGTGATTGGCTGCTGTGAGTCTTCAGTGTAAACGCCCACTGCTGTGATTGGCTGTGAGACTTCAGTTTAAACGCCCACTGCTGTGATTGGCTGTGAGACTTCAGTGTAAACGCCCACTGCTGTGATTGGCTGTGAGACTTCAGTGTAAACGCCCACTGCTGTGATTGGCTGTGAGTCTTCAGTGTAAACGCCCACTGCTGTGATTGGCTGTGAGTCTTCAGTGTAAACGCCCACTGCTGTGATTGGCTGTGAGACTTCAGTGTAAACGCCCACTGCTGTGATTGGCTGTGAGACTTCAGTGTAAACGCCCACTGCTGTGATTGGCTGTGAGACTTCAGTGTAAACGCCCACTGCTGTGATTGGCTGTGAGACTTCAGTGTAAACGCCCACTGCTGTGATTGGCTGTGAGACTTCAGTGTTAACGCCCACTGCTGTGATTGCTGTGAGTCTTCAGTGTAAACGCCCACTGCTGTGATTGGCTGTGAGACTTCAGTGTAAACGCCCACTGCTGTGATTGGCTGTGAGACTTCAGTGTAAACGCCCACTGCTGTGATTGGCTGTGAGACTTCAGTGTAAACGCCCACTGCTGTGATTGCTGTGAGTCTTCAGTGTAAACGCCCACTGCTGTGATTGGCTGTGAGACTTCAGTGTAAACGCCCACTGCTGTGATTGGCTGTGAGTCTTCAGTGTAAACGCCCACTGCTGTGATTGGCTGTGAGACTTCAGTGTAAACGCCCACTGTTGTGATTGGCTGTGAGTCTTCAGTGTAAACGCCCACTGCTGTGATTGGCTGTGAGACTTCAGTGTAAACGCCCACTGCTGTGATTGGCTGTGAGACTCCAGTGTAAACGCCCACTGCTGTGATTGGCTGTGAGACTTCAGTTTAAACGCCCACTGCTGTGATTGGCTGTGAGACTTCAGTGTAAACGCCCACTGCTGTGATTGGCTGTGAGACTTCAGTGTAAACGCCCACTGCTGTGATTGGCTGCTGTGAGTCTTCAGTGTAAACGCCCACTGCTGTGATTGGCTGTGAGACTTCAGTGTAAACGCCCACTGCTGTGATTGGCTGTGAGACTTCAGTGTAAACGCCCACTGCTGTGATTGGCTGTGAGACTTCAGTGTAAACGCCCACTGCTGTGATTGGCTGTGAGACTTCAGTGTAAATGCCCACTGCTGTGATTGGCTGCTGTGAGTCTTCAGTGTAAGCGCCCACTGGTGTGATTGGCTGTGAGACTTCAGTGTAAACGCCCACTGCTGTGATTGGCTGTGAGACTTCAGTGTAAACGCCCACTGCTGTGATTGGCTGTGAGACTTCAGTGTAAACGCCCACTGCTGTGATTGGCTGTGAGTCTTCAGTGTAAACGCCCACTGCTGTGATTGGCTGTGAGACTTCAGTGTAAACGCCCACTGCTGTGATTGGCTGTGAGTCTTCAGTGAGACTATAGACACATTCCTCAACGAGTCGTTCTCTGGGCTCGGTTATTGCATATTCTTATAGTATGATGACCTCTTATATGTCAAACCTTCAAGAAAAATTAGATTTCTCAGTTCATGACCCCTTAAACAAAATGCCATTTAATCCGCTGACAAACATCTTTCCAAAGAAAAAAAAAAAACTATCAAAAAATGCCATAATATAGATGCAATATATGAGAGCCAGGAAAAATAAGCAGGATTCCTGGACTTTGTATTTATTAAGTGTATAAAACATTTTTCTTTGTTTAAAAGCAGCTGGAAGACTTACCTGTGTCTTTCACATCTCAATATCTGTTCTCTCAGCGTCTGACGGCTTCGGGAATAGAACAAAAGTGTTTACATAAGAATAACACACACATCTAAACCTCATAAGCACCTCTGAGCCGTAACTGACACAAGAAGGTCGCAACCTTTCACTCTTTAACACACATAAAGGAAGGAAATACTTCAGATAACAAGCTGTGGTGAGACAGTAAAACCCATTTACTCTGACCTTCTGTGAGCTGATATTTCTCGGCAACAGCCGCTCTGTTGAACAAAAACACAAGAATATTAGTCGATCATTTCACATTAGTTGTATTAAATAAGTAGCATATGCATATGAATGCTGATTTTGCACAACATGATCACAATCGCTGCTCAAAATCACAATCAGCAACATGATCTGCCATAATAACGAGCGCCTGTATGTTTCTCATACATTTGTTACTTTTGGTTAATCAAGTAACATCCATAATGATAAGACCTTTTATTGTACAACACTGCATTTCATATAACTAAACAGCAGAATATAATATTTGTATTTGTTAGATTTTATATTTCTCTGATTCTCTTTAAAATCACTTTTTTTCTGAACCAAACTATTTACAGTTCAACATTTTCAGTTTTACTAAATAGACTTTGAAACAAAAATAGACAAAAACAACCAAATAAAATTTTAAAATTTCAATAATTCCAAATATGAATAAAACCTATATATAATGATCCTAAAATGATCCTTTAAGGGCAGAGACTGGAGGTTATATAGGATATAGCCTGAAACATTCTGGTCTTGATTTAAGGATTTTGAGGAAAAGACACACACACCAAAGTGTATTCAACATCCTGAGCATTTTGAGATGTTGGTTGATGATGAAAAAAATGCCACATCATTTTAATCAATAAACACCATGTTTAGAGCCTGTGTGTACGTGCTGGCCATTTCCAGCATGAGCAGAGAGTGTGTCGCAGACGCCTGACGCTGTGCAGTGTGTGAGAGTGGGAACATGAGTGTGTCGTCATCAGCGGGAGAATCTTCTGCAGGACTCACGCGGTTCACCACTTCATGTTGTGTTTCCCAGCTTCCTTGTACAAACGTATAGTTCCTGCTCATGTTTCACACTTACTGTAAGCTTGTGATGATGGACATTTCATCATGATAATGCCGCTCGCTCCTCTGCAAACCTCAGAGATCATGTTGCAAACCTCAGAGATCATGTTTCAAGGCATTTTATTAAGATGTAAAAAGTCTGTCTCATCCTGTCATGATGAAATGATGGAGAAATCCTGCCAGACCTGCAGATGTGGGATTTCAGGCTCTGGAATGAGATTCCCATCAATCATTGATATTGATAAAGAATTGCAGGACCCAATTTTTGCTCATTTTCAGTTGCAGGTTTTTGACTTTGAAGCCAAGCTTGTGTGTGGACAAATACATATTATTCTGAAACGCAGCTTTAGTCAAACCTACTGAGAAACTGCGTGTCTATATATTAACAACCTAAAAAACATCAATCTATTTGAGTTATGACAACTTTGAATGCAATTATGTAACAAACCACACTGAGTTAGAGGAACTTGTAGAATAAGCAACAAAAAAAAAACTACTAAAAAACTTACTGAAAACCTAAAAAAAAAAATAAGTTGAGAAACCTACTAATACTAAACCTACTGAAAAACCTCAAGAAAAGCTAAAAAAAAAGGTAACGCTTTATTTTAAGGTGCTTGTAATAAGCAGTAATTAACAGTTAATAAGACACTTATAAGACCTTATAAGATGCATATAAGATGCATATAAGCATTAACTACTTCATATAAGGGTTAATTAAAGGTCCAGGCCCTGAAGAGATCAGGGAAACTACTCCCTCTTGGGAAGGTCAATTTTTAAGGGACTGGGAGTTTGTGTTACCATTTATGTTTGTTCGGCTGTTCTAAAAGTGCAATGTATTGATACTTGAGAAATTTATTATTTAATGTAATTTATTTATTATCATTATTTAACGCTTATATGCATCTTATATGCATCTTATAAGGTCTTATTAACTGTTAATTACTGCTTATTACAAGCACCTTAAAATAAAGTGTTACCGTAATTTAATTAGCATCTAAATTTTTTCAAGTTTTCAAAGTTATCAAGACACTTTCATTGTTACAACTTAGAGAAATTTGAGATTAAATTATACACAATATTAAGTTGATGTGAATATCAATATTATTATGCAAACAGAATTTATCAAAATAATGTTTGCATGTTTGAGATCTCACACACCTGAAGCGCTCACACTCGTGCGTCTGAGATCTCACACACCTGAAGCGCTCACACTCGTGTGTCTGAGATCTCTCACACCTGAAGCGCTCACACTCGTGTGTCTGAGATCTCACACACCTGAAGCGCTCACACTCGTGCGTCTGAGATCTCACACACCTGAAGCGCTCACACTCGTGTGTCTGAGATCTCTCACACCTGAAGCGCTCACACTCGTGCGTCTGAGATCTCACACACCTGAAGCGCTCACACTCGTGCGTCTGAGATCTCTCACACCTGAAGCGCTCACACTCGTGTGTCTGAGATCTCACACACCTGAAGCGCTCACACTCGTGCGTCTGAGATCTCACACACCTGAAGCGCTCACACTCGTGTGTCTGAGATCTCACACACCTGAAGCGCTCACACTCGTGTGTCTGAGATCTCACACACCTGAAGCGCTCACACTCGTGCGTCTGAGATCTCTCACACCTGAAGCGCTCACACTCGTGTGTCTGAGATCTCACACACCTGAAGCGCTCACACTCGTGTGTCTGAGATCTCACACACCTGAAGCGCTCACACTCGTGCGTCTGAGATCTCACACACCTGAAGCGCTCACACTCGTGTGTCTGAGATCTCACACACCTGAAGCGCTCACACTCGTGTGTCTGAGATCTCACACACCTGAAGCGCTCACACTCGTGCGTCTGAGATCTCTCACACCTGAAGCGCTCACACTCGTGCGTCTGAGATCTCACACACCTGAAGCGCTCACACTCGTGTGTCTGAGATCTCACACACCTGAAGCGCTCACACTCGTGTGTCTGAGATCTCTCACACCTGAAGCGCTCACACTCGTGTGTCTGAGATCTCTCACACCTGAAGCGCTCACACTCGTGTGTCTGAGATCTCTCACACCTGAAGCGCTCACACTCGTGTGTCTGAGATCTCTCACACCTGAAGCGCTCACACTCGTGTGTCTGAGATCTCACACACCTGAAGCGCTCACACTCGTGTGTCTGAGATCTCTCACACCTGAAGCGCTCACACTCGTGTGTCTGAGATCTCTCACACCTGAAGCGCTCACACTCGTGTGTCTGAGATCTCTCACACCTGAAGCGCTCACACTCGTGTGTCTGAGATCTCTCACACCTGAAGCGCTCACACTCGTGTGTCTGAGATCTCACACACCTGAAGCGCTCACACTCGTGTGTCTGAGATCTCACACACCTGAAGCGCTCACACTCGTGTGTCTGAGATCTCACACACCTGAAGCGCTCACACTCGTGTGTCTGAGATCTCACACACCTGAAGCGCTCACACTCGTGTGTCTGAGATCTCACACACCTGAAGCGCTCACACTCGTGTGTCTGAGATCTCACACACCTGAAGCGCTCACACTCGTGCGTCTGAGATCTCACACACCTGAAGCGCTCACACTCGTGTGTCTGAGATCTCTCACACCTGAAGCGCTCACACTCGTGTGTCTGAGATCTCACACACCTGAAGCGCTCACACTCGTGTGTCTGAGATCTCTCACACCTGAAGCGCTCACACTCGTGTGTCTGAGATCTCTCACACCTGAAGCGCTCACACTCGTGCGTCTGAGATCTCACACACCTGAAGCGCTCACACTCGTGTGTCTGAGATCTCTCACACCTGAAGCGCTCACACTCGTGTGTCTGAGATCTCTCACACCTGAAGCGCTCACACTCGTGTGTCTGAGATCTCACACACCTGAAGCGCTCACACTCGTGTGTCTGAGATCTCTCACACCTGAAGCGCTCACACTCGTGTGTCTGAGATCTCACACACCTGAAGCGCTCACACTCGTGTGTCTGAGATCTCACACACCTGAAGCGCTCACACTCGTGTGTCCTGAGATCTCACACACCTGAAGCGCTCACACTCGTGTGTCTGAGATCTCACACACCTGAAGCGCTTCACACTCGTGTGTCTGAGATCTCTCACACCTGAAGCGTTCACACTCGTGTGTCTGAGATCTCTCACACCTGAAGCGCTCACACTCGTGTGTCTGAGATCTCTCACACCTGAAGCGTTCACACTCGTGTGTCTGAGATCTCTCACACCTGAAGCGCTCACACTCGTGTGTCTGAGATCTCACACACCTGAAGCGCTCACACTCGTGTGTCTGAGATCTCACACACCTGAAGCGCTCACACTCGTGTGTCTGAGATCTCTCACACCTGAAGCGCTCACACTCGTGTGTCTGAGATCTCACACACCTGAAGCGTTCACACTCGTGTGTCTGAGATCTCTCACACCTGAAGCGCTCACACTCGTGTGTCTGAGATCTCACACACCTGAAGCGCTCACACTCGTGTGTCTGAGATCTCACACACCTGAAGCGCTCACACTCGTGTGTCTGAGATCTCTCACACCTGAAGCGCTCACACTCGTGTGTCTGAGATCTCACACACCTGAAGCGCTCACACTCGTGTGTCTGAGATCTCACACACCTGAAGCGCTCACACTCGTGTGTCTGAGATCTCACACACCTGAAGCGCTCACACTCGTGTGTCTGAGATCTCACACACCTGAAGCGCTCACACTCGTGTGTCTGAGATCTCACACACCTGAAGCGCTCACACTCGTGTGTCTGAGATCTCACACACCTGAAGCGCTCACACTCGTGTGTCTGAGATCTCTCACACCTGAAGCGCTCACACTCGTGTGTCTGAGATCTCTCACACCTGAAGCGCTCACACTCGTGTGTCTGAGATCTCTCACACCTGAAGCGCTCACACTCGTGTGTCTGAGATCTCTCACACCTGAAGCGCTCACACTCGTGTGTCTGAGATCTCACACACCTGAAGCGCTCACACTCGTGTGTCTGAGATCTCACACACCTGAAGCGCTCACACTCGTGTGTCTGAGATCTCACACACCTGAAGCGCTCACACTCGTGTGTCTGAGATCTCACACACCTGAAGCGCTCACACTCGTGTGTCTGAGATCTCTCACACCTGAAGCGCTCACACTCGTGTGTCTGAGATCTCACACACCTGAAGCGCTCACACTCGTGTGTCTGAGATCTCACACACCTGAAGCGCTCACACTCGTGTGTCTGAGATCTCACACACCTGAAGCGCTCACACTCGTGTGTCTGAGATCTCACACACCTGAAGCGCTCACACTCGTGTGTCTGAGATCTCACACACCTGAAGCGCTCACACTCGTGTGTCTGAGATCTCACACACCTGAAGCGCTCACACTCGTGTGTCTGAGATCTCTCACACCTGAAGCGCTCACACTCGTGTGTCTGAGATCTCTCACACCTGAAGCGCTCACACTCGTGTGTCTGAGATCTCTCACACCTGAAGCGCTCACACTCGTGTGTCTGAGATCTCTCACACCTGAAGCGCTCACACTCGTGTGTCTGAGATCTCACACACCTGAAGCGCTCACACTCGTGTCTGAGATCTCACACACCTGAAGCGCTCACACTCGTGTGTCTGAGATCTCTCACACCTGAAGCGCTCACACTCGTGTGTCTGAGATCTCACACACCTGAAGCGCTCACACTCGTGTGTCTGAGATCTCTCACACCTGAAGCGCTCACACTCGTGTGTCTGAGATCTCTCACACCTGAAGCGCTCACACTCGTGTGTCTGAGATCTCACACACCTGAAGCGCTCACACTCGTGTGTCTGAGATCTCACACACCTGAAGCGCTCACACTCGTGTGTCTGAGATCTCACACACCTGAAGCGCTCACACTCGTGTGTCTGAGATCTCTCACACCTGAAGCGCTCACACTCGTGTGTCTGAGATCTCTCACACCTGAAGCGCTCACACTCGTGTGTCTGAGATCTCTCACACCTGAAGCGCTCACACTCGTGTGT